TTGAAGTTCAGAATGTCTTCTTTCTAGCCATATATCATTTGGGCCAATCCAAGGTCGGAGGAGGAAGTTAAGGCCAAAACAAATTGCTAACTCATTTTGCGCGCTGATAAAATCCATCCTGAGCATGGCTCTGTGTTTGCTAGGTAACAGACTCCACAATTATCCAATGGGGCTGAATTTCGGATATGTTATAGTATACACCCATTGGAACAACTTTCATGAAGAATGTGGCCTCATCCGAGCTATGTAGGTTGCTGAAACAAAGCTTGCAATATGACCTACGAAATTGGGCTGGCAGGGGACTGTAGCCAAAATTGAGTTTGTCTTTAAGCTCTTCATCCATTCATCCAAATTAGGCCCTAACATGCATGGATTGCATCATTTACTATCCAAAGCCCTCATTATTACCTAAAGCTCAATGAACTGAAAGATAAACACAAAAAGGATTAAAAGCACAAGTTTAACTCAAAAACATAACCAAATCATAAGCTAGAATGGTACAAAATGATATACAATTATGAACCGATCACAAGCACATTCACATTGTCTGAGAGGAAAACAAACAAAGTTCACCAAATTCTAAATCCTAGTGCTAGGGCTTAGAATACAAATAGTTGAATCCTGGGAGGCAATCACTTGTAGAACTTCAAGCACCGAGGAGGGGTCAAGGTTTTTCTCACGCAGGTCACCGCTGTCAAGTTTTCTTCAGAATCTGAACGTTGGTATACTCCTTCTCTCGAGCTCGTCGATGTCCCCCTCCCCACCTCGTGCGTCGTTTGGTCCAAGCTGGTTTCGCGGTGTGGTTGGTTCGCTCTGATGATTAGGGTTTGACGGCTAGGGATTTATCTGCCCTAGCGTCGCTGCTATTATCGTTTTGCACGGCTCCATCTACACCCTCATAGTTGAATCTGGGTGTGTATTTCTTGGCTTTGTGTGGTTGTGTGTTCGTGTGGGTCTGCAGCCTTCATGGTGGCTTGATGATGAGGGATGCGACAGGAAAGGTTTCACGAGGTGCTGGTGGTTTATCGATGGTTGGCATTTAGGTTTTTTATGGGGCAGTATGGATCTAGTGCGTTCTACAATTTTCGACGGATAGATCTATGTTCCTATCTCTCAAGAATCTTTTGTGGTGGGGCTCTGAGATCCGAGTAGTGATAGAGCCCTTAATGTTTTTGAGCAATATTTCGGGCGACACCATGTGACGAATTCTCTTAGTGAGTGTAGAATTTGCATCAATGAGTTTGCTGATAAGGCAACGAAGGCAAATCTCGAGAGTCTCCCAATTCTCCCTGATGTGTTCACTGGAACGTTTGGGGCTTGGCATATGATAAACGTTCATATTATGATGCTTTTCTGTTGGATGTTCATCAAACTAAGAGGCCAATCTTGAAACCCCATGCCCAATCGGGTAGGGGTCTAGATTAAGAATCAAAGAGTTGGTATTTGGTACTTTTGTTGACTTTATTCTGACGTTCACGGCATGTTGTTCTATACATCGAACTATGTGAGGTTTTTCTTTGACAATATTACGTTATGGTGGGTTGTTCTTTGAGGGGATTGGAGTTATGCTTTGTTTTGTCTGTTTTGGTGGAGATGGAGTTGCACTCTTGTGTGCTCTCTCCTATGGGGTCTCCTGTGTTGGTTTCTATTAGTTTCTTCATTTCAGGTTCTTTATAGCCATTCAAAGTGTGCTTGATCTGGATTTTCTTGTCAGTCCATGCCTTGTGTGGTACTCTTGTGTGCTTGATCTTGATTTTCTTTCTTGTTAGTCCATGGCATGTGTGGTACTCTTTTCTACTCTGGGGGTTGTCCAATGTGGTTTTCCTGTGAAGGTTTTAATAAGGTCACTGAATTCGTGCTGGTCTTTGTATGCCTTTTTTGTTTATAAATGAAATCTTATTCTCAAAAAACAATGGTATATTTGATGAGTTGTGACAATTTATGAATAAAGTTTTGATGAATGAAATTAAAAACCGAAATGTTGTGCCCTTTGCCTTTTGAATAAATTTAACTATTTTCTGTTCAAATAAAATAATTTAATTCGTAAAATAATTAAGTTTTTCAACATATTCGTATGTGCAGTCTCGTTCACCTGGTCACTAGAGTTCAAGCAATATCTTGGTCACTTACCGTTGGATCTCATCTAACGGTTTATGTTGCACAAGTCCCAATTTAAAAAAAGAAAAATATATATATATTATACAGTCCCCTTTCCCGCCTACTTATTGGCAAAAGAAAAAACTAACTAACTATCTAAGTCTCAATTGTTGACGTGAGTCTCTTAATTAATTAAAGAGATTTATTTCCTTGATTAATTAAGGGATTTACTTTTTTATTTTATATAGTTGACAAATCATTATATAATTAGGAGATACTATCCTAATTGATTACTGTATTTATTTCCTTGTAAAGCACTTATATAAACTCCTATATATACCTAATTGTAGAGAAGAATAAAACTTAACCTAAAGTATTCAAATCATATTCATATTTTAGCATGATTCATAGATTCAAAAGAAAAAAATATGGAAAGAATCAAAAGGAGTTGCAAATATAAATTTTAAAAATTCATAACCACCCTAGTTTTACTAGTACATATTATAAAGAGTTAATTACACTTTAGTACCCTGTGCTTACACCCTTAAGACATGTTAATCCATATCTTCTCAATTTTTACAATAACATACCCGGACTTTTAAATTTGTTACAATGTACTTCCGCCATTAGGGTTTCCGTCAGATCTCTCCGTTAGTTGCTTACGTGGCACTTTAAGTCCCATATTTTTCAATTTTTGTTAATTTTAAATTGATTAAAAAATGAATAAAATATTTATAAAAAAACCAAATAAATAATAAATAAAAATCTCTCTCTCTCTCTCTTCATTCCCCATGACTCCCACCCTCCAACACCACGAACCCAGAACCCACGGAGGGGAAAGCTCAAAACCTAAACCTAAAAGGAAAGTTCGTCCTTTAATTCTTGCCAAAACCCTCAATTTCAATCTCACCATCTCATTCTATCACAAATCGTAACCCTTATTCTCAAGAAGAATGCTTCTCACTCCGGGTCACTCTCCTCGCCACCTCTCATCCCCTTTACCGCTGCAATTTCAGATAGTTCCGTTCAAACGCCAAGAAGTTCCGCCCAAATCACTTCCAAAAACCTTAGGCCATCCCACAGTCCTCAACGAAGACACCTTTGTCGCCGCAATCGAGAAGATAATCGAAAGGGACTTCTTTCCGGATATCTCGAAGCTTTGGGACCGCCTTGACTAGCTCGAAGCGATCAAGACCCGCGACCCGGTTCAGATCCATGATGCCCAGTTGAAGATCATTGGGAGCCGCGACTTTATGGGCCAAATGTAGTCAAAATGAAAACCCTAAGCCACTGACCGAACATTTTGTTTTGATTTAATTAATTTGATGAAGCTTTCCTGATACCTCAAGTTTAAGTTCTGTATGTTCTGGATTTTTTTGAATTTGAATTGTGTAAACAATTTCTTTTCTGTCTGATGGCTTAATCTGTTGGATATTGACAAATGGTTCATTGATTTTCAGTTGATTTTGCGTCTTGGATGTTTTAGGATATAATTTGCTATGTTTGAGTTTCTTGGGTGCTTTGGTTTCTTTGTAATTCATGTTCTTTATGGTTACAGGGCATATGCTGTGGTCCAGTGAGCATATCTATATTTCTTTGCTGTGCTAGCTTTGATTTGATTTCTCAATGTTTTGCCTAAACTTACTCATTTTTAGTTTTTAGTTTGTTCATTCTTCATGGGGCTTCATTTCTTGTTGTGTTTTTATCCTCAATGCAGGGGGGGGAGATGGGTTCTGGGTTCATGGTGGTTGGAGGGAGAATGCTGGAAGAGAGAGAGAGATTTATTTTTAAATATATTTTTAGTTTTTAATATTTTATTCTTATTTTAATCAATTTAAAATTAATAAAAAATTGAAAAATGTGGGACCTACAGTGCCAAATTAACGGAGAGATATGATGGAAGTCCTAGCGGCGAAACCACATTGTAACAAATTTAGAAGTTTGGGTATGTTATTATAAAAATTGAGAAAATAAGAATTAACATGTTTTAAAGGTGTAACCACATGATACTAAAGTGTAATTAACCCTATTATGAACACTGGATATCTTCGTCAAATAGACAAAAATATGCACCCAAGAGAAACTTGTACAGTAAATTAAGTTAATGGATAGCCTAGCACAGCATCCATATCTATCTTCTTGAACTCTGCTTCTGCCTTTGCCAAGTCTCTTTTCGCTGCCTCAAGATCAACTTCTGCAGCAGCGAGGACATCCCTTTGCCTCTTTATTTCATTCTCCAGAATTTCCACATCTTCTCTCAGTCTATCAACTCTTCCTGCCCTTTTCTTCATGACCAAAACCGACTGAACATGAGGCTCCAGCCAAACCAAGTCAAATTTGAAGGTCTCAAGCTCCTCCCATAACAGTTGAAGGCGTTTACAAGCATCACGGGTCATATCCTTGGCCTTTGTAGTCTTCAGAAAACACAAGAGTCGGCCCAAAGCTGTGAATGCACATTGAATAAACGGACGACTTCTCTTCTTATGGCACTTGAGCAAGGAAGGATACGACGAACAAACTTCCGCTAGAAATGGAACAAAAGTTTTCTCTACTCGTCCTAAGCCCCTGAAATCGATAAGCTCCCCAGTTTCTTGGTCTTCTAAAATCTTAATACCATTACGAACTGAAACTTTGACTTCAACAACACACAAATCATTGATAAGATACCCTTTATCATGATCACGAAGCTCACTTAGAAGAATGAATGATCTAATGCCCCTGTTACTATCATTTGCCACAAACTCATGTTCTAATAAATCTGTGAAAATCAAGGATCACAAAAACATGAACCAAGAATCAAAACATGTGTATAACGAAGCAGTATGAATGATATAGGAAGCCCGTTAAAGAGAACATATAAGAAACAACATAACAGGTAAGAAAATATTCTGACTCAACTTAAAAGCCTAATTACAGTATCCACTACAACTAAGGCGTCGCAGCCTAGAAACTAGTTGACATCATATGCTTGCATATATAGGAACATACAGGTGACATCACCAAAAACAACTAAGAGAGTCATATGCATGCCTGACCATCATGAGAAACAATGATCAGCTATGAACTAATAAATGACAATCATCATGAGCGATCAAGATGAATTCACAGTTTTAACACAACCATTTGGTGGCATAGTATACTAGTGTATATCTAGCTTGTAAGCCATTCGACCATCCAGATCATAACTAAAGGAGAGATAGGGAGGATTGTTGATACTAGAAAAAACCAGAGTTGAAGTTAATATAGGTAAAGAAATTATTTTTCTTTCTAATGTAAGTTAAAAAAACCACTAAAAATTTCATTTAACAAGTCGCTTTAACAAATGACAAGCCACAAGATAAAGATATATACCCCTTGTGATTGACTTCTTGCTATCAAGTTGATTAACCACGGTGAGGCTGAACTTGGCATATCTGGTCCACCCAAATGGCAATGTTGAAGCATCTGCAACATCCAAAAACAGGGACAAGTAATCTACGTTGCTCCCCTTAGGATACATAATGATCCGCCTGTTCAAACCAACCCAAGACGATTAAGTCTACATATTAACCAATTATTATCCCAGAAAATAATAATAATAATAATAAGTCTACCATTTATAACCACAAATGACGAAAACATCAGAATAATGCACTAGGTTGTTCAGCTTGGAGAAGTTGTTGATTCTCCAGGTGAACGTCCCACACACAAAGTCCTCTTCTTCCTCTTCCTCCTTCATTCTACCAAGCGCAATCCCATAAAATAAAAGAACAAAGAAAAAAAGAGTAGAATAAAACTCATAACATATATAACGGAGAAGTACTTACCTTCCAACTGACGAGTGGAAAGTAAATTTGGCAGACAAACTATTCTTCTTTTTAAATCCTTGTTTAATACCCTATACCTCTGGAAGAGAGACAGTCCGAACACGCCACAAAATATGCCACAAAATATTGAACAAAAACTCAAATTTGCTGATGCTAGAATTTCTCCATTAAAGTTAGTAAAACTAATTAGTTTTCCACTACAACTTGGGCCTCGCATGATTGCATATATAGGAACAAACATCACAAAAACAAGAATCATATGCATGCCTCCTCCACCAAGAAATGTAAAAGAGAGAGAGATAGAGAAAGATAGGAACATACATATGACATCCCTAAAACAAGAATCATATGCATGCTCCTCCACCAAGAAATGTAAGAGAGAGAGAGAGAGAACAAAAGTCTCCTTCTTCTAGAAATAAAATTAAAAAAAAGAGTGAGAGCGAAAATCTACTCCAATGGTTTAGGTCGACTAGGCCCGGCCAGCTCTAAGATTAGATAGAACTTGGACTGATGGTTTGAAATCTTGAAGACAGCCCGTTTAAGCCCATGTAAGCCCAACTAGACCCACCCATAGAGTTTGCATAATATTGCATTTAATATCATAAGTGCAGTGGGCTAATTTAAATTCAAGCACCTCAATTGAGTTCGTTGGTATTGAAAATAGTGGCAAACTAGCAAAGGTGTCCGTGCGTTGTTGCAGGTTTTAAAACTGTCTGACATGTGTACAAAGTTGTGAAAATATGTAGTAAGTTTAAGTTACAAAACAAAGACTAATAACATATTTTATATGTTGCTTGTCATCTTAAAATATTGGACATATTTTATTAAACCAAGCAGCAATCAAAATATCAACAATTTGAGCTGCTCCTTGTTCAAAAGAGTTTGTACGTGCCTTTACATATATGCTACTAGTGGGGGAAGGGGATTTTTCTGCCTTGATGTTTGTTTAAAGGGGATCTATCTCTTGTTAGCTCTACTGTAGAAGTGGTTTTTGTTCTTTCTTGTCTTTTGCATGAGTTTTAACTCTGTTGGTACAAATTCGGAAAATAGCAAGTGTTAGTGTAGATAAATGGAGAAATTAATTAGCCAAATCAGCCAGAGCAACCAAAAACAACACTGTCAAGTTAATTAGGCACGCTACTATGCATAGCATAGAGACAGTGAGGATGTTTTGAGTAAAGTAATAATAAAGAATGATACGCTGATCAATGCTAAGATAGTAATATATAAATCAGCCACTAAAATTTAGTATAAAAAGTGGGGAGAGTGAGCATCAAAAGAGAGAGGGGCGAAAAGGGAACATAAGTAAAAATTTAGTAAAGGGAAGAGCAGAAAAGGTTTAGTGGAGGGCATTTTCGGCAATCCACTGTGCTGAAGAGAAAACAAAACTGAAAACCACATTAAAAAAGAGGGGCATTTTCGTCATTACAATATGCTTAAGAACAGTGTAGGGTGGATTGAGCTTTAGTATATATATAATTTATTTGGTAGATATTTGGCTAGCGGATGCGAAATTCTTGTCTTTCAATTACTTCTCCTAGGCACTGGATCTGGAGTTACATGTATGGCAACATTATCTCCCAATCAACCACCACACAAACTCTTGAAATAATCTAATATATCAGTTACATGCATCCTTGTACAATACAAATGATGTGCAACCCAAATGATGCATCATGTATCAATTCCACATGTAGGAATCCCTTGGTTAATTAATAAAGAGCACAACTCCTACGCCCATAAAGCAGATATTCTTAATACAAAGATGGTTCTTTTGTTTAGTAACAAACAATTTGCAGGTTTCAAACTTTACTTTTCTCTTTCCAATGTCGATGTAATCTTCTCCAGTACAAAATTGCTCCACCGTTAGGAGCGTTTCAAACTTTATTCCAAGGCCAGAAACCTCCTTTTTCTAGTCATTTCTTCATTTCTTTGGGGGTCTGAGTCATAGCAACGTGAACGGGGATGTGGTTTCCCACATTGAAAGGGCCTGCCGGCTTCATCCATCCTTAGACCTCTTATCTTATTTTTCTTAAATATTCCATTCTAAATAAGAGCCTGCAACGACAACTCCATAAATCTGGATCATCCTGGTGAGTTTCTCCTTCAAATTGAATACAAATTTTAAGACTTAGAATGACCATATATAATTATATATACGTCTGTGTGTAAGAAACATGCAAGCTCTCAATCCTCCTCTCTTTTTATCAATGAAATCTGGAAAGCTTCAAATCAGGAATAAACAAACGTCAGTCATCTATGCATATATATTGAAATAATTAATTTGAGTTTTTTTTTTATTCATTTATTTTTTTCATTTTTCACTTCAAAAAATTAATTTATTCTAACTTCATCTAATACTGTCTTTCTTTTTCTGAAATAACGTGGGTATCTTAAGTAGAAGAAAGTTACAAGAAATCATTCATAGTGGGATATAGACTAGATGATTTTTTTTATTTTCTTTTATTTTTGGAAAAAACGAATCTTTTTTAAGAGCAAGAAGATAATACATGACGGTCATATTGATCTCAAAATCCCTGTAGGAATCCCTTAATTAATTTAAAGAGTACAACTCCTATGTGCATAATATATTTTCACTACTACTATGATGTAAAGCACCAAGTTGATGCTAACAGGGTCTAGCTCTGTGAAAAAGGGTCTTGATTTGGAAATAGTGATAAATAATAATAAAAAATTGGAAATCTCATGGCACTTTAATAGTGTGTGTGTGTGTGTGAAACTACCATGGTATATTAAAGCAGACGAGTGCAACAAACAATTTAGTTACATTAATTGTTTTTGTTGTACAAAACAATTATTTCCATATATTTTGGCATATTAATAGAAGCATAGGTAGTTAAACGTGGAGTTCTACTTTGCACCATTGTAATTTATAAGTTCTAGTTTGACATGTGATCGTAAAGACTTCCATTTTAGAACTCATATATTTGATCGCATTCAGTGTACTTGTTCCCCTGCAAGCACCTACACACATGTCTTGGTGTCACCACACTTCATGACTTGAGACCTTGTCATCCTCTACATTTAGAGAAGATATTGTGTGTACTGGTCTTGGCGGAAGATCAATGCTCAATTGATATTCCTATGACCATGAACATTTTAGAATGTGACTAGGGACCATGATAAGTCTCAATGTATACAATCTCATTACATAGTTCTCATGTCTACTTTCATATTCCTAGGACTATAGTTGTTTTACTTTTATGATAATAGACCAAATATCATGGTTGAAAACAACTGGTCTTGTCCATGAATAACTTAATAAGTTATTACAAACGATGTCCTTAACATTAACTATCACATAATTAGATGGCTTTAAGGGCATAGTAGTAATAGCTAAATGGAAGAATCGAGCAACCGGGTCCAATTCAGTCACAAATACCAACTTTGTATATGCGACTGAGACGAAAAAAATTTGATGTATCAAACTCTAAAACTCGGTAAATTTTACCGTAGTAAAGTGAAAATTACCCTAACTTTTTTATCATTGATGTATTTTAATCTAGAAGCAAAAAACAAACATAACATGTACACCAGTAAACTATCATATGCTTCTGCTGGACAATGGGGATAGCCTCAGTGGTTGAGCTTGAGTGGCAACTTTCCCCCCTAATTGTCACCCATGTTCGAACTAGCATTGAAATCTTGTGATACCCATATACTGTACAGTCCCCCTCCCCTTCTTATCTATTGGCCACAAAAAAAAACCTAGGGTTAATTACATTTTAGTACATTGTGGTTACACCCTTAGGCCCTGTTTGATGGGCTAGACCGGATGAAACTTTTTCAATTAAAATGGACATGGGTCCAGTTTGTTGTTTGGTGGGCTTAATTGTATCACACACTGGCTAGGACCTCAATTTTTGTTTAGGATATGAATACAGCATACGCTGGATATCAAAACCCATGTTGAGACATGGGTTTTGAAGACTACCTCGCGTCGTCTCCTCTTGCCGAATGTGAAGTCTCCCTCGCGTCGTCTTCTTTGCTTCATCTCCTCCACGTCGTCTCCCTCAGCCACTTCGCGTCGTCTCTGCTCTATCTCCTCTCCTCTCTCCTCTCTCATCTCTCTCTCTTCTGACTTTTCTTTTTTAAAAACTAATTTCTCTGTTTGTTATCCATATTTTTCTGGGTTAGATATTGAGTGCTGTAGTTTTTTGGGTTTGATTTCTTTTGATACCTTTCATTGAAGATCTTTCAGATATGTTCCCATCCAGAATTTGCATAATTTGTTTTTTTTTAAATGTTGTTTTTAGTTTGTATTTTCTATGATCTGAAAGTTATACTGTAGATTTTTTTTTTCTTTTGTTTCAAATTACAATATTGGTTTTGGTGTACAATCTTTTCTCTTGTATAATTATTTATAATAAAAAAAAAGATAGATTTTCTTATGATAGAAAAACATGAATTTTTTATCTGATAAAGAGAAATTTCGATTAGAAAAAAAAATACTGAAAAAAGAGGAAGAAAGATTCTGAAGACAAAAAAAAGTAAGGCATTGATGCAAAAAGTTGGAATTTTGCATTTGATTATTGTTAATAATAAAATAAAATGATTTATTAAAAATATGTTAATTTTAGTCTGTTGTTTGGTGCAAAAAATGAATATAGGACTGGATTCAGAACCTAGCCAGTCCAAGCCAGCCCAATTCAATGCTTCAAAGCCCATCATAATCAGTCCAAGCCAGCCCATCAAATGGGGCCTTAAAACATGTTAGTCCCTATCTTTTCAATTTTTATAATCACATATCCCGATCTTTTAAATTTATTACAATGTGGTTATGCTATAAGGTTTCTGTCATATCTCTCTGTTAGTTGCCTACGTGGCACTAGGGATCTCACATTATCTTTTTCTTTTTTAAATTTTAAATTGATTAAAATATAAATAAAATATTAGAAACAAAAAAAATTAAAATTAAAACAAAAATAAAACTCTCACTCTCTCTCCTTATGCTTTCCCTCTCCCCATCAATTTCTTCTCCCCTCATTCCCCATGACCACCACACTCCCCCAGCCGAACCCAGAATCCAGGGACCTCCACCCTAAAC